CCCCCCTCTCCCCGGCCCCTGCGCCTCTCCCATCCTCCATCTCTCCCGGCGCTGCTGCAGCCTATTCGGCCCATGGCAAAGGCCCCTTGCGGGTGCCCGGTTCCACTCCCGGGCTTCACGTCCTCCCGCAGCGCACCCCCTCTGCCTTCGGGGCCGCATTTTATTTCCGCTGAGCGGCGCCTCTCTCTGATGTCACTCCGCCCCAGCCGTATGAAAGCGCGGCTAATAAGCCGCGCGGGTGGTTCCCCGGCCTGCACGCCGCCACTGCTCCCACCTCCTGCGAAGCATAAGTGAGTATTTCCTCTGGCTCTGGGCCGGGGTCTCCCTCTAGTCTCGTTGTCCCTGGGACAGTAATATTTTCCTGTTTCTATATCTATATCGATATTTTCCAAGCAAATGAGTGTGATGTTCTAGGCAAAGGCTGGTTGGCAAAGTGCTGCAAAGCTGAAGGGGTTAATTTTTGACAGGAGTAAATTAAGGTAATCTTCTGACCCCAGAGGAGCCCTGCTGATTCACAGGAGCTGAGGATTTGACCCCAAATTGCTGTTTCCATGTAAATATCTCTAACAGTATAATAATAATAATAAAAAAGGGAGGTCAAACTGGAAAATGCTGCCCAAGCACAATGGAACCAGAAGACTTAACATTGTTCAAATTAATCACATTTTCTTGTTGTTATTTTAAAATATTTATAGAAGAATCTAAAATGGCTATTATTTGCCCAGCAAAACAGAATATCTCTCATGTGATTACACAATTATCCTGTGTTATATGTACTTCATAATACAGAATGGCTGCTTTTTCAAGTAATTATCCCATACTCTATCCATACTGAAGAGTTAATGAGATCTTGGTGATATTTCCTTTCTTTTCTGTGGAACACATTTTGGTGGCATCAGAGCAAAAAAGATGCTCTAAACTGATAGAGCTAAATTCATGGCTGGCGTAAGTCAAAGTAGTGCCATTAAAGTCAGTGGAACCAGTCCAATTTACAACTGAAAAATTTATTTTTCCTATTCATAGGATTAAATTTAATGCATGTCAATGCCATATAATCCTGTCTGTTCCTGGAGTTACTCCAGATTTGTACTTCTGTACCTGGAAACATTATTTCTGCCATTAACAAGGACTTCATAAGATTCTCTCCCACATTCTGTAGAAGATCATTCAGGGATCTTGGCCTTGAAGCTAAGCTGGAAGCAAAATTAAATTTTTATGACTGACAGCCTTAAACATAAAAGCTCAAACTGCACTTGGATAGTTTGCTTACTTGACTGCCCAGAAAATATGGAAGCAACAGTGGAAAGTGAGGTGTGTGGTTATACTGGGAATGCCATGCTTGTGTAATGCTGCGACATGAGGCTGAAGGCCAGCGTCTTTCACTTACCTAAATACACCAGTGTCTGGTATAGCAGGACTTTGGGAACTGTGCTACTTTTTGTTGGGTTTGTTTTCCTTTGATGAAATGACTTTGGTTTCATTCTTATAATAACTGGCCGATTCCTAAAATGGTCACAATATTATGTAATCGCAAGGGGGGCAAAATACTGCAAGCGGGTTGGATCTGGCCCACCAAGGGGTTCTGTCCAGCCTGTAGTAGTTCCTTCAGCCCTGCCTGGCCCAGGCTTGAGGGGCAGCTTGAGCTGTGGCACATGTGGCCAGTCCCATTCCTCCAGATGTACAGCAGGGCAGAGGCTGCAGTGGCCAAACTCAGGTTCCTAGCAGCCCCTGTGGCAGCAGATCACTCTGCTCCTGAGCACCGCTTCCTGCCCACCTGCAGCTCCATCCCATCTGAATCTGTATCTATATCTCTATCTATAGCTAGAGATATATAGATATATGTATATAGACAGAGATATAGATATGAATATAAACTGAATATATATATATAATATGTGTGTGTGTGTGACTTGATCACATGTAACATATACTCATGTGTAACTCCATTAAAGTCAACAGAAGATCTGCACATGGAATGGCCAACTGGACTGAGCCCTAGTAATGTTCATTCCCCTAGGATACCAGTTGTACCAGGTCCATGCTCTTGGGGATGCTGTTTAAAACTGTCTTTATTGCACTGATGATCCTAACTGGACAAATAAAACAGAGCAAATAGTAAAGTGATGACAATGGACTAATTACTGTAACTCTTTATCATCTTTTCTGATCTCTAGCCTTAGCATTAAGCATGTTCTCTTTTTCAGTTTCTGACACTGAAGAATCAAGATAATTCACAAATAGGAACTGTCCCTTTTATATTTCAGGCAGTGGAGAAAGCATTTGCAGTGCCAGCTGGGTTTTATTGGCAGACCGTAGAAACTGATGAAAAATACTTCCCTAGCAGCAGTGACATTGGGACTAGCAGAGATATAGATACAGAGGTAAAGAATTCCTGTCTGAATTCTAGAATTAAGTGGAAAGCTAAGGGAAGATCAAACCTGGCATGGAATATTTGAACTCATAGAATTGTTACAAATACTCATTTTCAGATGTTTCTCACTCTAATATACCAGCCAAACCTTTGGTATCATTAATTTTGATCTACCCATTGCTCTGAGCCTGCAAAGATTAAACTCTGAACTGTAAAGGCTAGAGAAAATGATACCAGTTAGGTGCATATCAGCAATGCAGACTTATTTTGAAATACCAACCCAACTTGACTGCAAGCTGATGTGTCAGAATTTGTCTGTATTTTAGAATTTCTACAATAAAAGGTTTAGTAAGTCTGGTTTGGGAATTTCAAAACTTCATCACAAACTTGATTTAAAGTTACAGATGTTATGATTTTTTTTCTAAATGTGCATCAAGATGGATAAGCTGCTAAGAAAGCTCAATACTCCTGCCTCAATCCTTCAGTGTGCCTAAGGTTTATCAATGGGAGTTGAAGACATGGGGCACTTAGCTGGATCATGGACTGTGCTGACAGACATAGGAAAAAAAACAAAACTGCGCTTTACTAGAATAGGAATCATGTCGGTTTGACCTGACTCGCCCATCATCTGTATAGCTCACACGCTTCAGCCAGGCTTTTTTGGCACTCTTATCTAATAGCTGATTCAATCAGTTATTAGATAAAAGCGCCAAAAAGGCCAGGTGAAGTATGTGAACTACACAGGTGCTGGGTGAGCCAGATCAAATTGACACGATTCCTCTTGTGGGCATGCACTGTGCTCAGTGTGGGGGCATGCTGAACTGAAATTAAAGTGCTGGGGTCGTCCCGTTCCCCCCCGTGTCTATAAGCACCTGAAGTGCCTGGCCTCCTCCTGTAGCATGTGCTGGGGCTAGTTCAAGAATTACACTTCTGAGCTTCTACAGGGAGCTGTTAGAAAGACATCTTCACAGTGCAAGGCGTTGTGAAAGGTAAACCCTGAGAAAGGAAAGGATAAAATGGGGTGATTGTTGATGTTCCCCCTACCTTACACAGACATGCTCAGTTATATCACCGCCCATGATATAATTCACCACTTGGGATGTCTCCATGAAGGTTTTATGAGGCATGGAGCTACAGGACAATTCCTTTCTTTTTAGCTCATATGAGCAATGGGTTAATAACAGGGGAATTATAAGTAAATGAAGAGAAAAAAATAGAGCTCTTTTCTAGTTGGACCAGACTTTTTTATTCCTCAGTTAGATTTATAACTTAGTTTATCATAATGTTGTAAGCCTCATTATGTGTTTATGAGGGAGTAGCATTTGGTAACACTTCATTTAAAGTGTCCAGTAATGATGAATTCATTTGGCATTCACTGCAGCAATAAAGCTCCTGGTTGAGGATGGTATTGTGTGTCTGTATGGAAGGGAGAACCATACACAAAATACAGGCCAGTACAGTCATGCTCTTCAGATATCTACTATCCCTGAATTTCCCGAACAACCCAGATTCTTCCATTACATTATGTGCACCTTGAATACAGTATTCCTACTTATGGGGGAGTGAAGTACATTTAAAATAAAATGAGAATTAAATGGCGAATATTTTTTTCCTGGTGTATATATTTATTATATAGCTATGGCTATGCCTACATGATAAACTTACCAAGCCTGGAAGCTATACCTTTAGCAGGCTGCACTGTTTTGCTCAGGCTGCCTCTTAAACCAGAATCAGTATGGCTGTGTCCACACAGCACTGCAGGCAGACTAGTTAGTATGGGAGCAGGCTGATTAGTGCACCCAAAATCCTACATGAAGGCAGATACTGCTTCCATTTTAGATGTGGTAGCCCACATAGAGCAGCACAGCATGTTGGAGGAAGGGTAAGTTTACTGTGTAATGGCAGTTTCTGTACCATATCTGAGGATGGACTGAATTAATTCCTCTAGAAAATAAGATTGTGGCATATAAATAAGTTATAGTTCACCTTTGGTATCTACTTTTTGGATTATGTTCTTGTATTGATTTGGAATTGCCGTAAATATGGAAAAATAGCTATCTTGTCTCTTGCTATTATTTGACTGCAAAATTAATCAGCAGAGTAAATACATTTCATTTCCTGCCCCAAATAACTTACAGTTCTGACAGTAACAAATCAAAGGAAAATGCCATATTTTTTTACATACAACATATAACTTTCCCCCTAAAATCACCCCTGCCCCCAAAATTGGGATGTATGTTTTAAGTGGGGAAGCTGTTTTCTGGAAAAGAAGCAAGTCTGAAAATACTTTGCATGCCATGAAGCTGCCAAGATGTCAGAGTCCTAGGTTAATCCTCTCATAGCCATAGCTATTGGCTGAGCACGCGCCTAAAGCAGCAGGTGAGCTGTTCGTATTATCTTAACGAGGCTTGTGATGTGGAAATAGCACTTCATGTACAGTAACTTATATAAAAAGCTTCTTACAGTAAAAAATCCGAACAGTCTTGCTGCTGCATTTGCAAGGGTCTGGGGCCTAACCTTGGAAGTTCCTGGTACCAGCTACCTCACCCAGACTGTTTCCTTGGATGCCACACTTCTGGACACGCTGTTTCCAGGAGGACTTACTCTATGTCACAGTTGGCCGTGACTCTGGAAAAATATTTTTTTCTATGTTCTGCCTTCCAAAACCAAGGTTTGTGTTTTATTCAGGGTGTGGTATATGTGAGGAAATAAAGTAGTTCAGGTGACAAAAGGCATTATATATTATAAGTGTTAATATCATGGTAGTGCACTGGATCCAATCATGGGCTAGCAAAATAGCATGTTGATCACTATAAATACACAACAAAGAGCCCACAAAGATCATACAGCATAAGGAAGACACGGGGATTAAATCTGAAGATAAGAAAGAGAGGGATATTTACATGTGATTGATATCTGTGGTTCTCTCTAGGAATAGAAGTGTCATTGTTACTAATAGGGGTGTGCTTGTTTGTCCTTTGTGACCTTTGCCTTTCTGTTCAGGTTGCCTTGGTGTTGCTATTTGAAACCCTACTCCAAAACCCTTTGGCCACCCATCACATGCTACAGCTGATTCTCAGTGCTGGTTTGGATATCTGCGGACTCCGCCTACTTTATCCCCAGCACAACTTGCTGCTCTCTACCACAGGTAATACCTTATCTGCACACAGAACTTTCACCAATTTAACTACACTGGTTAGTACTATGGGGCGTTATGAGCATGACTTCAAGCTCCCCCTTGTCTTCTCCTCTGAGAGTCAGACACATTCTGGGCTGTTTGCTTTCATCTGTTCCCCATGTTATATTTCTGCAAGTGTTGTAACACTGACATTTTCTGTGGCCTTTATTCTTCTGTAAAAGGTCTTTCCTAAATCTCCATGTTCTTACTGAATGTATGGGCTAGTGACCTGGATGGAATCGGGGCTAGAATGAAAGAAACCTAGCACAGTTTAGTACATGTGCTTTAAACATTGTATTAGCCCCTAGTGGTTGCCCTGGCATTTTCATCTATAAGGAACTTAAACTCTCTCCTGATCTTTGGCCTTTAAGGCTTAGGAAACAGTAGGGTCCTACCTTATTTCCACTGGTTTTTACCTTTGGCACAGTGTAGAGTGTTTTAGTTTTGTTTCCTGGGGGTGCTTTCAGGCTGTGGTGTGTGTGAGGGGTTAGAGAGGATAGTTTTGGGGACTCAGTAGGGAAAATGATTGCCTACAAACACAAGGCACTAGGCTTGATATCCCAGGAAGTTCCCAATAGTCCTATACTCCCATATCCCTGTATCAATTCTTAGATAGCTTTTGGTGGTGGGGGACTGGTACTCTGGCCCTTCCACAGCTGCTTTTCATAGTTTGACAGATTGCTGATCTCCCACCTTTTAATCTGGGAGAATAGAGGGGAAATGGAGACAGGAAACCCAAACATTTGTACCATGAGTGTCTCATGTTGGCTGTCCAAATCCATAATTTTAGGCATCTGTGTTGAAATTGTGGCCCTTATAACTTCTCAGAGCCTCATAGATTCATAGATTCATATATTCATAGATGTTAGGGTCGGAAGGGACCTCAGTAGATCGAGTCCGACCCCCTGCATAGGCAGGAAAGAG